TTTGTCTACAATAAGGAAGTCTCTAGAAGGCTTTTATTTGTTTGTGATTGATGCTTTGGGATATTAATTTCTTGGCAACTTTGAAATGAATGTGTGTTTTTCATGGGAGGTTTTAGAGGGGGCTCTGCATGAGCAGATATGAACCTGGGAACCACTGGGGGGTGCACGGGAGGCCTGCAGGAGGCCGCTGGAGAGAGCGGGGAGGAGCAGCAATGCCCGAATCTCCACCTGAGGAGGCCTCGTGGAGAGGCAGGTGCTCGGGAAGTCTAGGAGGAGAAGGTGGGAGCCTCAGCCAGCCTAGGCGTCCGCTGATCTCTCTGAGCTCAGAGGGAGGCCTGGGCTGGGCTGGGCGTGTGGCCAGCCGTGCAGGGGGAGGGTGCAAGGACAGGGCACAGGCTGGGTGCTCTGGAGGCCCATGAAAGACAGAGAGAGGGGCCTTCCCCCCACCCCCAGGGTGCACAGGCCCAGCATTGGGAAGCTGGCCTGGGGAGGGAGCGGGGCCAGGGCAGAGGAAGCCCAGGGCCCGGTGCTTGGGGCCTGTGTCCTCTCCTCCACCTCTCCGGGCTTCCTCCCTTCCTCCCACGGCAGCTCCAGTTGGTGTGGCCCCCTCCTGCCCGATCCCCTCACAGCGCCTCCTCCCCCGCATTTTCCTCAGCCCCACATCCCTTTCCCTCAGAGCTCTGAGCGCCCTTGGAAATGATCTACTGAGCACGTGTTCACTTGTTCCGTCTCTTCCCCAGCCCCTGAGATGTGAGCTCCGTGAGGCAGGGACACTGCAGGTCGGTCACGCTGTGTCCTGGCCCCGAGGAGAGGCCGCATGCGAGAGCTCCCAGGGTGCCAGCGGCGCGAAGGAGAGCAAATGCGCCTCCCAGCACGGCCCGTCGGGTTGGGTATCGCAAAGACCCTGCTGACAGGGTCCCTGGAGAGCCCAGAGGGTGGGCCAGGGAAACAGGCCTGCCCCAGGGTTGGGTTGTCCCATCAGATTCCTCTGGGAAAGGACTTGCCCGCGTTCCTGGAGCTGCCGCCTCTCCGGGGAAGGATGCCTCGCCTGTTCTGGGCGGCCGATGCCCTTTCACGGTCCTGCCCTTTCTAAGATGGGCGGCCGTGAGGCTGGCGTGGTCCCAGCAGCTTCCTCCCAGGGCACATGGGTCCGGCGGGGTTGCACCGCATGAACCGGGCAGCCAGTCTGCACAGAAAGGGGCTCAGGCCAGCGTCCAGAACTCGTGGGGCCACGGGAGCTGTTGAGGTGCCTGCCCTGCTGCCCACGGAGCAGCCTCAGCTTGTCCCTAACGGACCTTCACGGGGTTCTCCCTTCCCGAGACACCTGGCTTCCTCGGGGGGATGGGGTGGGGCACTGCACACAGAGTCTTGCAAGGAGAAAGGGGTTTTGGTGGAGACAGTTTCTGGGCCCCAGGATGGGGAATGGCAGGGCCTGACTGCTGTTCTGCCCCCAGCCGGCCCCAAGTGCCCCGAGGAAGGGCTGCAGGGGCTGAGTGGACTCAGCACTGGAGGGGGCGTGGCAGGGGCTGGTCCCTGGGGTGGCCTCGCCTGCGTCGCGGTTGGCAGGTGTGAAGACAGGGTCTCCCTCATGGCTCCGTCGGGGCTGCCTGAAAAGAAGGGAGAAGAGCAGCAGCGGTTTTCAGTGTGTGATGCCCCCGTGTGTTCTGTGGGCCCTGAGACACTTGTCACCCCCTGTACCCCCAACGCCTCCTGCTCCCCGAGGAAATGAACCTTCCTTTGGGTTGAGGTTGTCCAGGCGGGGGGGGGGGGGTGCCGAGACGAGGGGACTAGGAACTTGCCCCCCAGCCTGAGAGGACTGGCCCTGGGATGGCGGTCCCTGGAGCCAGGGCACACACAGAGCCGGGGGTGAGCCCCCTGCGCACGGGCACCTTCGCAGCCACTGCCCGTCTCCGCCACTGTCAAGACTGGGAGTGGCCTCGGCAGGCCCTGGGAGGAGTGAGGGCCTGTCCCGGTGGCTGTCTCCGCCTGCTCTCTGCACTCAGACTGGTCAGAGCTCAGGCCATGGGCTGCGGACCGCTGGTGTCCAGGCAAAGAAGCGCCAGGGCCTGGCTTGGGCTGGCTCCTCAGCCCCGTGGGCAGGGCATGGGAAACCCACAGTGCATCGGCGCCCGGCCTGTCCGCCAGGTATTGCTCAGGAAGAAACCCCCAGCGTAGTGGCTGATGTGCAGAGCTCACCGGCCCTTCCGCTCTGGACTCCCTTGTGCATCTGAACTGGGCTGGTGGCTGTGGGCCGACCTCCTTCCCAACGTGCGCCCACCCTCGCAGGCAGCCAGCTGCTCGAGTGGCAGCAGCAGCGTCCAGGGCAGGGGCAGGACGCATAGACATGCATTCGCACCTCTGCTCATGCCAAGTGAGAACTTCCCAGGTGCCAATGCAGCTGATCTCCTATTTGGAAACATCATGGGCACCAAGCAGAGCCGTGCACTAGAACTTTGTCTGAGGATCGTACCAGTGCTGTCCCGTATGGCCGCCACCAGCCAGATGTGGCTCTTCAGCACTTGGAATGTGGCTCGTGTGGCTGAGGAGTGTGGGATTTTACTTACTTTCAATGAAACTAAGTTTGCATTGCAATGGCCCATGTGGCTGGCGGCTGCCGTGCTGGCAGCCATACGAGGGCACAGCCGCCATAGCACCGTGCAGAGCTGCTGCGTGTGGCACGGGAGCTGGGGTGGGTGTGCACGTGTGTCGTGCTGAGGTGCTCTCGCTTACACTCAGGCGTGAGCTGTGCTGTGCTCAGGAGCGGGAGGCGCAGGGCAGACACCAGCCCTGAGCTTGTCTAGCCGGGCCCCTCTCTGGGGGCTCCTGCTCCCTGAGCCACTCCTGGAGCTGCCCTGCCACGCCCTCTGGTGGGACTGCCTGGCCTCTCGGGAGCCCATGGGGTTGGCAGCCTTGGCCTGTTGGAAGCGCCAGGCACCTGCGGTCTTCCTCGGCTGCCTTCTTTCCCTGGGCTTCGATGCAGAGGCCGGCCCTGCCACCTGGCACCTCCTTTCTGTCTGAGTCAGTGGGCAGAGCAACAATGAGGTCGCTGGGTGTTGCCAGGTGAGCAGTGCTGGGTGCCTGTGCCCAGGGGCCAGCTGCCTATGGACGAAGCTGGTTGAGGTCACGGCACCCTGGAACCAGGTGCCACTGGCTTTACTATTAGTCACGTGTTTGTTGCTCTAGGTGGGCTCTTGTTTGGGTGCTGCTGTGCCCTCCCCACGGGTCACAGGAGGTTGGCTCTCTGGGCCTCGCAGGTGCCGGCCCCTAAGCACAAGCAGGTGGCACCTTCCAGAGTGTGGGCGTCAGAGGAGCAAAACGCGGCACAAGTGGGTGGGTGATTTGCCCAAGTTCACAGAAGGACCCGGGTTCTAAGTGCGGAGTCCATGGCAGGCGCTCAGACCTGTTCCCAGGGCTTCCCTGGGTGGGGGTGGGGCCTGCACACTGACCCAGGGCCCAGCACCCCAGTCAGCACTGCAGGGCACTACCCTCCATGCCTGTGTGTGCCTCTCCAGACTGCCCTCCAGGACTGCTCTCCCATGTCCAGCTGGTGAGGAGGGCAGCCCAGGGCCCGCTCCCTACAGTGCCTGGCGCTGGTGGAGCTCTGGAAGTTGGTGGAATGAGCATGGAGTGAACGTTTGGGAGAGAAACTGGTTGGGGTAAAAATCAGGTTGAATTTGAACTGTTTGCTTTAAGTTTGACTCTTGGGCTGGCATGTGCCCCTGGCAGCCCCTGGGCAGTTCCTGCGCCAGGCGGGTGCAGCTGGTGAGACGGGGCAGGCCGAGTGTCCTTTAGAGGGAGAGGCTCAGGTGTGGTCTCCCTCTGGGAGCTGGAGTGCAGATATGGGCCAGTGAAGGAAACATCCCAGGCTTACGTGGCTTATGGGTTGAAACTTCGGGTTGCAAGTGACAGAAATCCAGCTGAACTTGGCTTTAGCTCATGCAGCTGAAAAATCCCAGAGACAGCCTTCAGACACAGCTGGGCCTGAGGCTGAAATGGCACCTTCAGGACCACGTCCCACTGGGCCCTGCCTGCCTCTGTGGGAGCCGTTGGGGGCAGCCCCTTGGGGAAGCCAGCTGGCCCAGGCGGGGCTGCTGCTGAGCGAAGACTGGGAGCCAGCAGGGCTCTGGCCCTGACCAGAGGAGGCTTCTCCTGCTTCCCTCGCCCTGGGCTCCCACCCCGCCTTCCTGGAGCCACAGGGCAAGAGATGCCTTGGGCCGGCTGCTCACCCTGTTGGACTTGGGAGAAGGTCAGCTGGCTGGAGAGAGAGTGGAGGAGTGTCAGGAAAGTCAGGTCCTGGGAACAAGACAGGGTCCGAGCTCAGGGCTGGGGTGTAGGGTGTAGGCTGTTCAGTCACAGGCTAGGGCAGGGACCCAGGCCTTCAGTCAGGGCAGCCAGTGGCCTCCATCACCGCTGAGGGCCCAGCAGCCTCAGCACAGGGAGAGGAGGGGGTGGAGGGAGCCAGGCAGGGCCGGGCCCACAGCACATGTCGCCAGGAGGCCAGGACTGCCATTGGGTGGAAGCAGTCGGGAGGGAGCGGGAGCTCGTCGAGAAGGACTCTTTCTGCCACAGGACCTGCCGGGTGGAGCTCGGCCTCCCGTGGTGCAGGACCCCGGGCCGTGCTGGTGAGGGGTTGGGACTAAATCCGTGCCCTCCAGCTTTTCTTCGGTGGGCAGGGGGGTAGACGGAGCCCTCACTTCTGGCGGCCTCCATGGGGGAGGGGGGAGCACTGGAGCGAGACCTTCCACCGTCCCTTTCCGCTTACGGATGGCTCTCCCCTCTTCTCCCACTGCCCAGATATCCGTGGTCTCCAAAGCTTTCTGGACCAGGCCTCGCGGCTGGGCCTTGATGTCTCTTTACAAAAGGTGGACAAGAACATCAGCCACGTGTTCACCAGCCTCTTCACCACCATGAAGACGGAGGAGCTGAATCGCTACCGGGACACGCTGCGCCGCGCCATCCTGCTGCTCAGCCCGCAGGGGGCCCACTCCTTCATCAACGAGGTAGGTGGGGCTGTGGCCGCAGGAGTGGCTGCTCACATGGCTCACGTGGGCTGCAGGCGTCGTCTGCTTGTCTTGTGTGGCGGAAGCGCGTGGGGTCACAGCACACGGCAGGGAGGGGAGACCGGCACAGCGTGGCTCCTGCCTGGTCCCCAACAGGTGGCCCAAGGCCTCCCCAGCTGCTGGGAGGCTGGGCAGCCAGTGGGGAGCCTTTTCAGGTCACTGGCAGCTGTTTCGGAGGCAGCACTCGGGCTGGCTTTATTTCTTTCCTTTTACTTTTCTTCTTGGCGTTGGCAGTGTGAGCTCTGGCGGGGTGGTGGCTCTGCCTGGGGTGCTGGTGCCTGCAGCAGGTGTTGGTTGGCTGTCACCAAGTGACACGTGGTATATCTGTGCTTCGTTTTTGGTGACTGGGCTAATTAGTGACTTTTTTAAAACACCTGTGTTAGGGGTTAGGCCCTTCTCATGAAGACAGGGCTCACGTATTTAACGAAAAACCATTAATTTTAGGACAGACAACTAGACACACTGTGTGAGCTGCTGACTGTTGCTAGTCCTGGTGGTCTAATGGCAGAGATGACAGCTGGCGTTGGGGGCTTCTCTCTGGCCTGGGTTGGGTTCAGGGGGCAGGGACATGCTGGGATGCCGTGTGCCCGGGAGCAGGGCCGACTGTGGGGTGGTGGCGGCTGAATGCTCCCTGCGGTTCCCCTCCAGCCCACGGCCTTGGCCTCTGGTGGAAAGTGAAATGAATGAAGGGCAGAAACCTACTAGTTCCACCCAATGCACTTTGCTTGCTTATGCTGCTTCCCCCTAATTAATGATTCCTCAGATGCTACCCACGCGCCGGGAGCCAGCATACCCTGCTGGAGAAACCTACATTTGGAGGCCGCGGCTGGCCCACAGCCCTGCGCTCTCCCTCATCAGCGGGGCGCTGGCCGTCAGCCGCTGTGATGTCTTGTGGGCACCGCGTTTTCACCAGAACCCGTTTCCTGTACGAAGGGTTCAGGCCAGTCTCGGGACCCCAGGGTTGGCGGCACCGATGGGTCCGGGCGTCCTCAGAATGTCCCCAGGGTCTGCTCCCAGGGCAGCCTTCCCCCGTTCAGTCCCCGCCGGAGTTGGCTCTGGGACCTGTCTGCTAATTCTGCCACCAGCCTCCTCCCTCTCTTCTCGCCCGTCCCTCGCCCCCTGTCCTCACCGCCTTTCCTCCTGTCCCTGCTCTGCTGCTGAGCTGGGTAGGGAAATCTGCCTCACCTTTGCGTGAGGAGGAGGTGGCAGTTGCGGTAAAGCATGTGGGGGTGGCTTCTCCAGAAGCGTCCGTTCTCTTCTCGCTGTGCCGTTCATCGTGCCTTGTCCAGAGGATGCACCCGCCCCGCCCCAAGGCCCTGGAGGATTCCACATATAACCCAGAGCGGCCTAAAGACGCCATTCCCAGTGGCTCACGGTGCAACTACTGCAGTGTCAGATGCGCTTGGCGTGGCTTCAGCCACTGCCTTCCCTTCCCTAGACCACGTGTGCACGCCTTGCTCTGCTGGGGCCGCAGAGCTGGGGCCCTGGAGCGGCCACCTGGGCAAGAGGGATGCGCTCCTGGGGCTGTGGCTGGAGGCTGTGTGCAGAGCCACACCCGGCGCCACTGCCTTCAGCTCCGCCTGGTCAGTCTTGGTCTCCGGTCCCATGCGCCTGCCACTGGGCATGGGGAGCCATCGTTTCTGGGGTGCCCACCGCAGGCACCCTCTAATCCTCCCACTTTACAAGTGAGGCACCTGAAGCTGAAGACGTTAAAGGACTTGCGTGAGGTCATGCAAGTTGTCACCAGGGTGCTGGACCGATTCAAGTCCAGATCTGACCCGCTCCACAGGCCTCGCTGCCCTGTGGCCGGGATGGCCACAGAGATACAAGGGATTGCAGGCCGTAGTGGGCCGAGATGGCCATGCTGGCTCCATGGGGGAAAGCAGGGCTCCGGGGTCTGGCAGAGGTTCCCAGGGTGTCCATGCCTCACTGTGAGCAGGAGGGAAGGAACCCTGACCCTGGAGGGGACTGGCTCCTATGACTGGGAGACTGGCTAGCCCAGCCAGTCCCTGTGGAGACCTGGGGACGCCGTCCCAGCAAGAACGCTCCGTTCACTACTGAACGCATTGCTTCTACACTGACAAGGACAGACAATAGGCACAAGGCTGACCCCCTGCCAGGACATGCCCTGAATGTTATGAAACTCAAATCGCTGCTATGGGGCAGGCAACACTCACCACCCACTGCTGTTGATGACGTGTCCCAGCTGTGCCCGCTCAGGGCTGGCATGGAGGCCTCGGGAAAGACCCTTGGTTCTGTGGCCTGCTCCCCTTCCCACTCGAGAAGCGTGGCTGATGGGAGTGAGGGAGGAAGGCTGGCACTTACACTGTCATTCGTGACAAATTGGCATGACAGACGCGGACTTGGCTGCCTGGGACCCCAGTCCCTGTGCTGTGTGGGCGCTGCTGTTCCTCCTGGCACCCAGGGCACAGCCACTCACGGTGGGGGTGTGGCCGGGGCCCATTCTCCACCGGCTTCTCTGTGATCCCATTTTATGGGGTGGGGGGGCGGCCTAGCCTTACTGGGGGCCAAGGTTTGGGCAGCTTGGACTTGGTGGTGAGTGGGAGGGTTGGAGGGTGGTGATGGGAGGTATTGGGGCGTGCCTGTGGGCTCCTCTCCCAGGCCCCACCTCAGATTCTCTTGCCTTCCATTACTCAGTCTTGAGTCCATACTCCCTTCTCCGAGGTCTCATCACAGTCCTAACAATTACACATCAGCGTGCAGTCTCTAGAAGGCTCCCCTTGGGGGACCGCGCTTAGGGTGACAGCGTCTGGTCTCCTGACCTCGGGTGCTGGGCCACGGGGTTGGGAGGGTGGGAGGGCGCCCTGTTCTGGGCGTGGCGCTGGAGCTCTGAGGAGGCAGCGGGCGCCTCTAACTGGGGAGGGAGCGGGCCTTTGTCCTGAGCGCCGGCTCCTCTCTGGGCTGCTGGCTGAGAAGGGGGCTCCAGGGGCAGCAGCACCCCCTAATACGCTGTTCCCAGGCTCCTGTCAGCTGGACCGCCAGCCCCCGCAAGCACAAGGAAGGGAGCGGTGCCCCCTGGCCAGGGATAGAGGTTGGCCAGCGTGTGCGGGATGCTTCCTGGGCAGGGGACACTGTGGCTGGGTCCACAGGAACAGACCTTCCTTACCCCATAGCCAAGGAGGGTGAGGGGGGAGGTCAGAGAGGGGTGTGTGGTGCGCTTGTAGCACTGGGCGGGGCTGGGGAGTGGCCAGAGCTGAGGCTGGATGTCAGCAGGAAGGGTCTCCCTAGTCCAGGGCAGGGAACCTGCACTTCAAGGACTGGCTTGTTGTTGAGTCCTTTTCAGGGTCTTTGAGGCCTACAGTGCACTCCATAACCACAGCCCCAGCGCGGTTGGGGGCTATGCATGTCTTTCTGTTCTTTCCTCTCTAGCTCCAGTTGGATGGGGAGATCTCCAGTTCACAGTCAGTTTTAGCTCTGGGCTTCATCTTATCTTCCTGGAGGAGCTTCCATCCACCCATCCACCCACCCACCCTTCCACCAGCCACCCATCCATCCATCCATCCATCCCATCCACCCACCCACCCATCTGTCCATTTGTTCACACACCCCCCTCCCCCTAGCCATCCAATCGATAGGAATTGGGTGCCTAAGACAGACTGGGAACCATATCAAGGGCTAGCGGGGGACACTGAGGTTCCCCACACTCCACGGCCATAGTCCTTCTGGGCCTTCCTTGCAGTGGCTCTCACCCCCTGAGGCCTCCTCTGGGCATGTGTGGGACTTTAGGACTCTGTCCTTTCAATGGTCGTCATTTCTGTGCCCCCGCCTCCCTCTTTGCCTTTGTATCCTCTTTATTTCCTCCTCTCTTCTCCTCTCCCTTCTCTTTTGTTTCACTGGAAAGAATAGAAAAAGTGAACTATTTTAAGGGATAGTTGCAGCAGGTGGCATTTACCTTTGCATTAGACAGGTACCAGTGCTCTCTGCCTGTAGCGAGCGAGAAGGATGGAGAGAACACGCGGGGAACGGCCTGTTGCTGGGACAGCTCCCATTGCTCTGGGAGTGGGGTCACCTGTGCAGGCTGGGAAGAGTAGGTGAATGTGAAGGACAGAGGTGGAAAGGGTACTCCCAGGCTGGCTTCCCAGGCAGGGCGCGTCCCGGAGGCAGTCGACCCCTTTCTGGAAGCACAGCTGGATTAACTCCTGGCTTCTACTCGCTGCTGCTCAGAATTCGCTGCAGTGAGTGAGCTTTCCCCACAATTTGAGTACAAAATCTGTTCTTTTTAAGACATTTGTAGCAAAGGTAAATTAAGTAATCTCAGTGTTCTGTTGTCCCACATGACATATGCAAATATTTCTCACTCCACCAGTAAATCTTTAGCAGATGACTTTATGGCTTAGAATTAGGATAATTCTGTGCTATTTAAGTATCATTTTCCAGAATATTTTAAATTACTAATTAATTACAGGAGATTAATTTTTACATGTGCCCCTACATTTGCATTTAATTATATCCTACTGTTTATGGATTCTAAAGCCTTAGCACTTCAGCAAGTGCTACAAGTCTGAGAACTCATTTTTGGTCCCTTTAGAAATTCTTAGCGATGAGATCCCGAGGAAGAGCTGTTCTCAGCGTGCGCACCGCAGGTCTAGGCTCAGCACTTGGGCCTGGCAGAAGCGGGAGGGCCACAGGGAGCTGCCCTGCCAGGCCTGTGCCCGAGATTCCACACGGCCACCATCTCCTTCCATCTCCACACGCCTCTCATCCTCCGAACCCCTGCACACTGGGAAGCCGCTATGGACTCCCTCTCTGGGCACCGACCAGCTCTGGTCTTCCCAGCCCTCTGCCCCTTCTCCCTCAAGTCCTGGGCGCCCACAATGTCCTGTTCACACCCCATTGCCTCCCCCCCTCCCATCTAGGGCCTGCACAGCACGACATTTGTGCTCGGACCATCTGCTCGTACCACCCACCCACGGGACCGAGTGTGTGCAGCTACCTTGCCGAGGGAGATGGGACGTGTCCATCTTTGTTCATGGCCTTTCCGGGTCTGTGGACAGTGGTTGGCATCAGCCTCCCAGGGGCTCTGCCCCCTGCCCCACTCAGACATCCCCTAGAAGCTGGACTGCCCAGGGGCAGACTGATCACATTCTGAACCCATCAGCCAAGCAGGGACACGTGATTCTTCCAAAAAGTAATCGATGTTTCAATTTATATGATTCCTCACCCGATACATATGTTTTTCTCGATTCTAAAGGCAATAGGAAGATGGGATCTAGAGAGGGCTGGATGGAGGGAGGGAGGGAAGGAGGGAGGGAGGGAAGCAGAGGGGGAGAGAGAGATAGAGAGAAACATCCAGTGGTTGCCTCCCATCCAGTGGTTGCCTCCCATATTGCCTTCCTTCAGCCTTTTGGTGTATGGGATGATGCTCCAAACAACTGAGCCTCCAGGCCAGGGCTAATATTAGATTTTTGCTCTTTCAAAGGAGTGTCTGAGCCCTCATCAAGGGAGAATGCTGACTGTGATGATGGTGGTGGCGATGATGGTGATGGTGGTGGTGGCGATGATGGTGATGTTGGTGGCGATGATGGTGATGATGGTGGTGATGAGGGTGGTGATGAGGGTGATGATGGTGGTGATGAGGGCGATGATGTTGCTTGCTGTGTGGGGTTAACGGCACCTGGGCCCCAGGCCCTGTGGTTGTGGAGTCTGAATAATAGTTC